AAAATCTACAGTTAACTCTAAATTTAGAGAATACATTCTTAGCTGTAGCTTTCTGTTAATCAAATCTTTCTTCTTTTGTTATTTGTGTGCATGTGTGTTGCGCCTATACACATAGTACATAGGGATGAGTGTTCCTGTAGTATGGATGTCTGAATAATTTAATCTTTATAAACTCTGAGACTAACTGCCTGTATCTTCTGGACTAAGTAATTTTGTGCCTCACCAAATGTCAGAATACATTTCTTGGCTAAAAATAAAATAAAACAAGCAGCCAAACTGGATTTTTAAATGCCATGTATTAAAATGCATTTATGGAAATGTATATTTTAAGATAAAATAATACAACATCTGTGTGCATATCAGATCCATAAATAAAAAGCAAATTGATGGATTTTTAAAAATTGGCAGATGCAGAAACAGGATTGATGCATAAAGAAACAAGAAAGAGATGCAAACAAGAAAAATTAAATTGTCAATCCCTCGTATATCACATAATGAACTAAAGCAAAACAAAAACTATTTTCATTGATATGAATGCCTCAAGATAATTTTGCTTGCTACTTCACTAATGGGGATGTTCCATATTATGAGGCTGTGGGAATCACTAAAAAGAGGTTACAGTTAGTCCCAGAGGTCAGAATATGATTTTTTCCCCCAGTGTTTTATTCTGATTTTCCATCTTTGTTATCAGAGATAGATTGATGAGTTGCATAATTGTAAACTGCATTAATCAAACACTAAACCAAACTAAATGGGTGTGTGAAGTTGACACAAGTTTATAGCTTGGTTGATGAAACATGCTAAATTACAATTTCATTTGGTTATGGTTTATAATGTTGGTTTAGCATGATGAATAAACACAATCTCTTTCTATGAGTTTTAAATTTATATTTAAGCAAACATTTTTATGCTGACATCTGTTGAATTTTCAAGTCCCTTAAATTACAATTGTAATTTTTTCAGTACAGTTTTCCCTCTGTGTTTTATACCTGTATAGGCAAATCTTGATAATGTAGCCAGAACATAGTATATAATGATTAATGCTAATGAAGCCGAGCAATATTCATTATTCTGTATCTGGATATGCAAAGCGGATAAACTTGAATTTATAATAGAAGCCCCAGAAAAAAATGATAACAAAACATTTCTCTCTTGCTGCTCAGAAAACAATAGGGTGACATCCACCCTAGTCTCCAGGTGATAAGCTTGACTCCAAGGTATCTTTACCTTGATATAATAGAAGAAGACAGCTTTATGAACCTCTTTCCATTCACAATGATAAGGGCACAGGGATAGGCTTTATTATGCCAAGCAAGATTCACTAGCTAGGTATAGGTTGGAAAATGTAGAGCAGGGGGGTCAAACTGCCGGCCCACAGGCCGGATGCATCATAGCGAAACCGTGCCCACCCCATTGCTGGCAATGGAAAAAAAAGTTGCGATACATCGTGACAAGTCACATGACATTGCGAGTTTAACACCCCTGATGTACAGCAATTACTCAATACATCTTTTCCCAGTCACTTCAACCCTTCCAGTCAGATCTGGCAGAAAGGCAGCCAGTTTGGTCTGGTGGTTAAGGCACCAGGCTGGAAAACAGGAGCCCATGAGTTCTAGTCCCGCCTTAGCCATAAAAAGCCAAGTGGATGACTTTGAACCAGTCACTCTTTCACAGCCGAACTAACCTTAGATGGTGTTATAGGGAAAATAGGAGGAGGAAGGAGTATTAGATTTGTTTTCAACCTTAGCCTGATTATTAAAGAGATAATAATTAAGGTGAAATATAAACAAACAAACAAACAAACTGATATGGGTCCCATTCACTAAGGAATGTCATGCAGGAGGAGGGCCTTTTCTGCTACAGTCTCCACTCTTTGAAACATCATTCCCCTTGAGGTCAGACTGGTCCCAACCCTATTGGCATTCCAGCAGGGCATGAAGTCAATGGCTCTGCCATCTTACCTGGGGATCGGGTAAGGATGGCATGAATCCTGCAAAATGTCTATGCTGTTGGAGACACTGATTATGCTTTCCTACAAATCATGTTTCTAACTTTTTAAATAGCTTTTACTCTTTTAATGGTCTTATGCTATCGTGATTTTGATCATTTTTTCCACTGTTTTTTTTTTGTGTTTTTAGTTCTGTAAGCCACCCAGAATCACATGTGTGAGGTGGGCAGTGTTATAAAATGAACCAACCAACCAACCAACAAAATTGAACTACATACAGGACGCTATAGCCTCTTATCACCGTAATCATGGTGCAAAGGCAGTGGTGGGATACAAATATGTGAACAACCAGTTTTCTGTGTGGATGCCACTTCCGGAAGTCCATTCTGGGCCTGGGCAACAAAAAATTAGCTACCGGTTCTGCTGAAATGGTGCGAACCAGCTGAATCCCGCCACTGTGCAAAGGTAACAACATCTGAAACTTCCCTTTCTCAGGCTACCCCCAGTCCTTGCTCCTGTCTCATTTGCACTATCACTGGTGCTAATTAACAACTTCACACTTTTAAGTGCCCATGGAGTTTCTGAGTCATTTTTCCTCTTGAAGTCCTAATAGCTACAGCATCAGGCCATCTCTGCCTGATTGTTCTGCGTGGAATATGCTGTCTACAAGGAAAAAAAAAAGGTATGAAAGGAAAATTCTGCAAGGTGCTAAAAAGCTATGCAGTAAGTGTGAGTTATCTGTTTGTTTTTAATAGATTGCCACCAATTTCATTAAATGGAACACCTTTCCTGACCTTTACATTTTACCAAAAAAAAAAAAGTTTCCCATGATTTTTGCCACCAAAGCATGTTAGAATAAGTGAGGAGAAGAAGAGCAAAATAAATTAAACTTTTGAGTGGCTCTGCTTATAAAAGGCCATATGAGACAGAAGGGCATGCTGGTAGGGACAGGACACAAAGAGCATGTTTATTTCCGGTGGGACAATGGCTGCTGAAAGGAAGGAAGTCCTCTACTAGTTACATACAAACTGGATGTGATTCAGGAAAAGATCTAAGTCTCCATCACACCAACCTCCAAAACACGGGAAATCTCAAAATCTCCTACGTATCCTTGAATGTTCTGATGTTTTAAAGCAGAATTCCTCCTCTTATCCTGATACAATTTTTGCCCATGGATCCAATCTCACACACTTTAGTGACCATTCATTCTATGATACAGTTAGGTGATCCTTAAACAGTGGTCCAGCTTTCACTAGCCATTTTAAACTGGTGCAGGATTGATGCATCTCCATTGCACCCTAGACCTTCTTCTGCAGAGTCATTCTTCACCGGGCATCAGGAAAACTCTGATCTTTCAAACCAGCCTTTTCCCCAGAACCCACCAGATCCCCAAACTAATCATAGTCAGAGGCCATTGGGCAGGCTTGAAATAGGGCTCACCCCCAAACAACTAAAAGACACTAAGTATGGCCAGTGGTGGGATTCAGCCGGTTTGCACCACATCGGCAGAACCAGTAGCTAATTTTTTGTTGCCTAGGCCCAGAATGGACTTCCAGAAGCGACATCTAGACAGAGAACTGGTTGTTCACATATTTGAATCCCACCACTGAGTGTGGCGTACCGAGAGAGAGAGGTTCCCCCTTGCACTGGGCCATCGCTCCCATGTGCTTGAGACATGGATTTAGTACATATCTGCTGGCAAAACCTGGAAAGCAGAGGGCAGAATGATATAAGAAGACTGGAAAGTCATACCAAAATATTACAGACAGGGCTGGGCGATCTTCATACAGCAGCACTTTCTTTCATGTGATACTGCACTTCATTTCCTGCAACGTTTATTTTGGCACCTTAATCTATTTGGTGTAGAATAGCAAAAAGCTAGGAGTGATCAGGAAGCATACTACGGTATTCAGACTGAATCAGCAACCATTAAATACTAATCAGATCAATCCTGTTCTGATCCCATTTGCTCTTCCTTTTCTTACCCCGCATCAGAGAAATCCTGCATTATTTAAGAAGATTACTTTTCTTTGCTTAATTTAGTCTGGAGTCACTTTGCTGGGAGGAGAGAGAATTTTTTAACAAACATTCAGCCTGAAAAAGAACCCACTGCTATGGCAAGGAGATGGGGGGGGGGGGTGTCCCTTGTTTAAAAAATAAGCTTGAGTCCCAGGAAACACGGCTTTTTTTCTTGCTAAGCCAGCTTTGTTTACCCTCAGCAGTTATGCAGCATTGTTAAATCATCACTTGCACCGTAGGAACCTTTGATTAGCTGGGCTCATTCTATGAAAGAGGATTTGCTCTCCTATCTAAAGGTGAAAGAGTCATGAAGAAGGAGTAACAGTTAACACAGCACACATATGTGAAAAAAGCAAAGATTTGTTTTATAGCAAAGATTTGCTTTAGGGAATATTTTAGGGTACTATAATCAGTTCCTTTTTTCTGTGAAATTAAAGTGGCCTAACATTAGTGATAGCTATGGTTAGAAGAAGGCAGATGGTATGAAGATATCTACTGTATAATGCTTTGAGATGCTACTACTGTTACCATGCTTATCTGAGAAAAAGCAGCATTATTTGGGGTTATATATCTCACAGGGCACTTTTGATGTTGTTGATCACATAAACATGTGAACACCATTTTGTCAGTTTTCATGCGTTAAATAATTTTGTGTCACTCTTTACAGAAGAAAAAGGACAAGGCATATGAGAGAGTCTATGAATAATGTCATTATATCTGTTAGTCATTAGATCGTGCTAGCCATAAAATACCTGGGTGGTTTTTTTTCCTGTAATATTCTGTTATTGTATTCAATAACTCTTCTCTGAATTCTGAACTGATAAATCTTCTGTGCCTTCCACAGTATGAGGAATCTAAATCTTTGAGATCAAGGCATTCAGTCTAATGCAATGAAACGGAAAGCCCTTCAGTTTTAAGTTACTTTCAGATTACTACCATCGGATAAGAATATTTTTTAAAAAATGTCTTCTATGCATATTAATAAGATTGTTGTGCCATAAATGCAATGCTTAAATTATGGAAGAAAACCCACCTCTGGAGTTCTTTCAAAGAGACTGTGATCTTCAGACTATGCCCCAGGATGTAAAGAACAGCTAATATATCTGCCCATTGGACCATCTCCCCCAGTGGACCCCCTTTTAGTACACGAGGGCTGAAAACATCTCCCGATTCTTCTGTCAAGAAGCCAATGTGGATCAAAATCTAAAAAAGCCAAAAAGAAAAGGTGTGTGTGTGTGTGTGTGAATAGAAATAGGGTTTTAGGTAGGCAAGAAATAAATTACAAAAAAACAACAGCACAACTGAATTTCTGTACCTTACACTTATAACCCCATACACAATGAACAAGCAACTAATTTAATTTTGTACCTGCTTCTGATCTCTGTGTTTGCCCTCCAGTTTCTGTTCCAGTTTATGAGAGGCCCTCAGCCATTGGGCAGCCAAATGACGGATCCGTTTCTTCATGAAGATCAAGGACTCCTTGCCACTGCCAATCAGCTCCAGAAGATAGGAGAGGTCTCTTTGAAAAACCGCCTAGGAGGATAAAAAAAACCAATAGATTTTCTATTCATGCAAGGCTCAGTGATTTTCATAAGACCTATCAGTTGGGCATACACTCTTCTTTCCATTACCTCTTTGGGTAAGATTAAAAATACTACTGAAATGGTTTAGGATAATATGGTGATTTTAGGATTATATGCCGAGGACTATCTTGAAAATTAATTGTCAGGTAGAGCCTATTGGTAGAAGAAGTGATAAAACTACAAACTACAAGTTGTTGTAATGTGGAATGTCCTGGTTCATATTTGCAGCAACCATGTCCTTCTCTAGGATACTGATTTACTTTCTTACATCTTATAACCACTGACAATTGTACAGTATATTTGATGGAGGTTTGCTATTAAGGTTGGGTTTTTCCCACCATAACTTTTATTTTATAGTTCTTTAGACCTTAGAGCATACAACTGTTATCTGGATGTTAATCAGTGGTTTCATTTTGCTACTGTCTTAAGAGCACCTACCAGTTGCATTCACGACCCCAATGGAGTGACCACTCTATGCTCAGCAGATAATGCAAGACCATCAGGGAAATCCAGGGGCATAAGCTAGGCTGGTAGGTCTAAAATATCCTAGATGGGGACCGTGACAAACTACTTCCAAACTGTTATATGAAAAATAGTCTGATAGTTATTGGGAAAAGCTAAGAATAGACTTCCTTCTCTTTCAACTTTCCCATTCTTGCCACCTGATTTTCTGGCAGATGTAGAAAGACTAATCCCCTCAGTTGCTACTCTAGTGAAATTATAGGCAGCATCTCCTTACTCAGGCATTCTGCCTATATTAACACTACTACAACATCAGGGAAAAAATATAACCAGGAGAAAAAGTCTCCCTATTGCACCTGATCCCATAGTAATGCACTGTGTGCTCTGATTTTATTTATGTATATTTAATGGAAAATGGAGAACAGAGATTGAGTGGGATGTGTGATCATACTTAGTTGTAGACAGTATGCAATCTTTTCCTAATCAATCAATCTTTATTACGGTCATAGAACAGCAAGATTTTTTTTCCTGCTCCTCCCATATTTATCCTAAAATTGGAATCATTCAGGAACTGCAGTTTTTCACAAACAGATGTTCTAACACATGTTTTTCTGTGGATGGTTGCCCATGTCCATTTCTATCAAATGAGAATATTTAGGCTAGTTTCAAAAGAAAACCACTTTGATAAATAGGTCATAGCCCTGAGTCAATCCAAAAGCAGCAAGTCTTACCTGTATCCTGGGTGATGGGTTGGAAGAAGGGGCAGCTGCTGACTGATTTCGCCAAGGTAGCACTGGGCAAAACCACTCAACTTCACTGAGGTAGATGAGGAAGGAGCATTCTGTGCCATCCACACCAAAGAACGCGTAGCAAGGGTCCGACGTCCACCGAGCCCTCATCCACTGCAAGGCAAAATATTGTTTTAATAATAATAGAAAGAAAGATATGCGACAAGTACAAGTCTTGTGAAGGAGGAAAAAAAAGGTAAAAATGCAGCACGAGAAAATACTTTCTGTGTGTTTTGTTACAGGAGCAAATTCACAGTATGCCTTGTGAAAGAAAATTGTGTTTAAACTAGATTAGATTCTGTTATGTTCTTATCTAAATGCAGAAGAGATGCTGCCAGAGGAGCTCAGGGTAGCTGTATCAATCCACAAAGTATATTTTGCCTTTTATTTCAGTCAGTACTAGCAGAGAAAAAAGAATCGGGAAAAATAAGTATTTTGTTTAGGAAGTTTCAAAAACAGATAGGTGAAAGATCACTGCTAGCATTAATATTCTATTGCCCAGCAAGGTAGAGCTGACAATCCTGCACTAAGAAAGAAAATAAAATTGCAATGCCCTTAAAAAGTTATTTTGCATACAAAGCAATAAGAATAGGTTCCTCTGTATAGATAAATCATCCTCCATAATTGCTGGTGCCATCCTCTTCCAAACTTAACTACACAAATGAATCCACTCAAGAGACAGACCTCCACTCCCAATATGTAAAACTCACCAATCATTCAGACAGGAGATCAAATTACTGCCACCCACAATTAAATCACACTTAAAATTTAACCCAGGCCTGAACAAACGCAGCAAAAATGAGTGCTACAGAACTAGAAAAATCTGAGTAATGTAAAAGTTGTGTCTTGTTAATCTAGCAGTTAATTTATATTGTCAAGTAGTTAGATTAGTAGCTGAGGTTCAGTGGGGGAGGAGATAACTAATTTTAATTTATGGTTATGCTGTCCAGACAGTCAGTGTTGACTTCAGCTGACTCCCTGGACAAATCCCTGCAGTTTTCTGGGAAATCTTTCAGAAATGGTTGGCCCTTGCCTGCTTCCTAGGGCAGGGAAGTCCAAGGTCACCCAGCTGGCTTTCTGCCTAAGGCAAGACAAGAATTCAGGGTCTCCAGGTTTCTTAACTACTACACCAAATTGGCTTTCTATTTTAACTTATAGTTAAACTAAAGCATTGGGGTGCAGCTGTACAGTGCTGCACACATCCGCATCCAGCTGTAATGATCTATATGAATGATTTTGAAGCGAGTGGAAGAGATGCTGCCTGGGGAATGATCAGATAAGGCGGGGAGGGGAGGGGGAGCCCACAGCTGCTTAACAGGCAGAGAGGAAGCTCAGAAAAAGAATCCCCTCTAATTATCAGACTGTAAAAAGGGAGGGTGGGAGATTTGTACTTTCAGGCTGGCAAGTTCCTGTTATTGGAGCCTTACAATAAAGCACTGCAGAATTAACTCATCTGATCTGTTTCCTGTTTGGTCTACCTGGCAAGGCTAACTAAAGTTCTGTTCTATGTTAAAAGCACAACAAATATAAGGTGCCTGAAGTTCTTCGGGCCAGAGATGACTTTCTAGATTAAAAATAAGCAAGATGATAAATTCATGTTGTTGCTATTTTTGCATTGCTTGTGTGTGAATAATTAACACGGCTGTGAAAGTTACATCCATCCATTAATCATGAAACACAGGATAACCTAGCTACTGTGATTTGAGAGCAAGAAGCATCTATCCTCACTCTCCCACTCTCAAATGAGAATTTGTTCAGGTTTTTTTTTCATTAAGTTAGCCTACATCTCTATTTGATTCTTTTGAATATGGAGTATAGTATAGTCTCCCATTTCAATAGCGCATTCAGGGAAAAGTTGGAATTCTTTTAGGTGTATCTTTTGAGGGTTTGCATTATCAAATGAAAGAGGAGGAGGAGGAGGAGGAGGAGGAGGAGGAGGAGGAGGAGGAAAAAGTCACATTCGGTACATTTCAAATGTTGTCCCACATAGTTGTGATATTTAGGATAGTCGATTGTTCTGCATTACCAATGGCAGTTTTATTGTTAGATGTAATTAAACATAATAATAAAAACATTTCTTCAAGTTATTGGACCCTAATGGAATTTCAAATCCCTTTCTAGAATTTTCAACATTGTTGTTTCTATTGAGGCTAAGTTGAAATTTGTGGTACGTTCATAGCAGATGACAAATGATTTCAGCATTTCCTTGGGTGGGAGAAAAGAAGGTAAATTAATTGCAATACTTAATAGTTATTGCATTTCCTGGACTTTTGGAAATTCATGCATATTATTTTCTGCCTTTCCAGCAGGCAGAGAAAAGGAAATGAAATCAAGATTTAACATTAGCATCGGGGATGCAACATCAGCATGAAATCCACAGGTAACAATATCCTGAAGAAAATCAGAATTAAGACATTCTTTCTACTGAGGTGGTCTTTGAGCTTGGTTGTTTCATTGCAGATCTTTCAGTACTCAGACTTGGTAACATCTCAATGCTAGAAAACATCTGCAAGAAAACAGCCAAGTTCAGAGGACCCCTCATTTCAATCCTGAGCTGTAAATATTCTTCTTTATTGATTCTTCCTACTACACAATTTTTGCCTGTTCAGAAAAACAACAACAAAAAGACACTGATAACCTGACACTACCATAGCTTTCCTCAGGATCACCAAATATTTAGCTGCATAAAAAGGGGGGGCTGGATAGGGAAGACTGACCCAGTAATGGTAAGATTTTCTAAATTTTAGATTGCTTTCTGGAGTAAGCTGTTCCAATATGCTTGCTAATTAGTCAGTACATCACTATAACCAGTGCTTTTTTTTGTTAAAAAAAAAAAGGTGCCGGAACTCACACGTTATACAACCCGCCTTGCCTACCCTACAGGTTCCATCCAAAAAAGGTGCCGGAACTCCGTTCTGGGCATTCTATGACAAAAAAAAGCCCTGACTATAACCACAATGCATAATAAGTGCAAAATATTTAGAATGCTAAAACAGAAATAACATATTTTTGGTGCCATCTACTAAAAATTTAAGGTGAGGAGGAGTGCAATGAACTTTCATCCTAAAGGCCTTTATTTATAGAAAACAAGGAAATTGATTTGTGGGTATCTGACCATAAAGCCTATTCTAGAGCTGTGAATCCACGGCGCTGGACCTCAAGCAGTTCTTTGTGGGTGCCTATGACTTCCCTAACCCTCCATGTTAGTGATACAGCAGCTATTGCCATCATTCCTAATTTCTCAGAAGCCCAGGGACCACAGATCAATCAGCATGGATAAATATGTGCACCTTTCTGAATGTGAATGTATATGTTTATGAAGTGTGTACGTGCAACTCCCAAGTCAGTTGCATGAAGCTCTAACTCTAAAAAAACGCAACCCCTTCCTAAATCTAAAAAGGCTGCCCCACCACTCCCTTCCCCATCCCTTCTTCCCCATTATCACTAGTGATGTTTCAAAGTACATCTGGTGCCAATTTTATCTACGAGATAGGAGTGCTATTCCCAGGGTTTAGGGGAAAAAATGAAGTGATTTAATTATCACCACGTATAACCTAATCATGAAATCTAAGAATCTTTATAGAGCCTCGGATCTATATATTATACATATGGGATTAAGATATTTAAACTTTGCCTTATCTTAATAGATCAGAGGACTGATATAATTTAAAAAAATAGTAAAACCAAATAACTTAATAAAAGCAAACTAGAAATCTATAGATCCTTTAGGAATGGTATAAACTGTGAGAGGATATTTATGAGGGAAGAATGGCTGAGGACACAGACCTAAATAATCAAAAGCCAGCAGTGGGTGTCTCACTTTATCTCACCAATTTAGCCCGAGTGAAGAGAAATCTGGGAAGATTTTGAGAAAGGACATGGCTGCAGAAGCCATTTTCCATCCTCACTTGTAGCCACAGAACAGGCCTCAAGCTCAGGAACCAGGTAAAGGTGGCAGTCTCACAGCACATCTGTCAGAGCTATTGTAGTCAAGCAAACACTTGTCCCTCATCAATAACTTCTCAAGCTTCCTTCTTCTTCTGCCATAGATTATCCAAATAACGGGTCATTTTCTGTTTTCCCCAGGAAAACCTTTCATACTTGACACACTAGCTTCAGCCTGCCTCTGCAGTCAGCTAGCTAAGAGGCTCTCCTGAGGAGTCTTCAGGAAATGTAAGAGGGGCTTCTTCCCATCACAGTAAGCATGCAGTGTGGATAAGCTTATGAGCGAGACAGCCTTAGGTACATCATTGTGTTCTTCCCTTATCCTGACATAACTCAAAAGCAGCCCAAAGTTGTGCAAAATCAGTTACCTTGAAGGGAAGTCAGGGGACTGCAGTAACTTGAAACTGGTAACTGAGGCAGAATAGGAATCAGCAATGGGGACAGCCAAATTCATGCCAATGTTAACAGCCAGCTCAAGGATAGGTAGTATCCTTGAGCAGTAGTATTCAGTAATACAGAAAGTCCTATGATTTTGCAAACTTTAAAAAAGTATATATAAAATAGGATGGTTGGATGGGATCCAGGGTTGTGCTCCATTGAGTTATTCTTGTGCTGGGGGAGGTAATAAAATGGCAACTGTTGTTCATAACCCCCACAGCACCATCTGCTCTCTGCAAAATCACTCCAGATTTGCATGAACAGGATAAAAATCCATTTTCTGCTCCCTGGCTCATGTAGGGAGCATCTTCCAGATTCTACTTCTTTATTCAGCTCTTTAATTAATTTATTTAATTTCTACAGTTGCACATCTCAATCCAATTGACTCTGGACAGCCAACAATATCACAATAATTTAAACCATAAAAACACAATAACAGTTACAAATTATACATATACATACATACAGGGCTTTTTTTCTCGGAGAAAAGGTGGCGGAACTCAAACCTGGCCACGCCCTCATCAAACCCTAGGACCGCCCCTTTAGAGAACAGGAATGCAAGTAAAATTTGGGAGGGGCTATTTCCGGTGTGGGAGGGGCTATTTCCGGTGCGGCCGGCCCGGAAAAAGGTGCCGGAACGCGGTTCTGCCGCGTTCCGGCTGAAAAAAAGCCCTGCATACATACATACATATATATATATATACATACATATACATTATACATATACATACATACATACATATACTGTAGGCAAGTGAAAATGTTCATAATAATTACCTAAAAATTAACAGGGCAACAGGGTTCCTAACAGTTTTAGGACCTCAGCCTGCTAGAGAGCCTGAACTCCTAAATGTGTGAGGGACCCCATTATCTGGTTGCACATAGCCAAGTCTTTGAAGTCTTGTGAAAGACTAACAGGGTTAGAACTATCTAGACCTTAGGATGCAATAGACTTGTATTTCAACAGAGGAGGAATTCGTTTAGTGATCGTTCAAATATACAGTATTAACATACTCACCTCGACTTTTCCAGAGCAGTCAGAATACCTGGGATCTCTGGGTACTTCACACTGGTCCCGTCGGCCTTCTATGGCTGTAGGAAAGAGGGAGGGAGGTTGGTTCCAAACTTGGAACTGTGGTTTCCTAACAGTATTTCATATTATTGAAGCAACCAAACCACACTGTCCTTGGAAACAGCTTCTGTTCCCCCCCGCTCATCCAACACAAATAATCTGCCAAGCTGAAGAAGTAGAAAGGGAGGAAAAATATGTTTAGTTTGCATTTAAATGTAAACAAATTAAATTCAGTCATATGGATAGTAGGATTATTTATTTATTTTCTCTTCTCCAAATATTATTCAGCAGTTTTCCAATTAAAGAACCTACAGAAATATACATATACATTTTCAGACTCTGGAACTAGCACAAAACTTTTCCTTTAGGCACGATTTTCTCCCTATTGTTAGGAATCTTGATTTTTCTTTTAAATATTTTGAATGCTTCATTATGAAAAATCCTTTTTTCAAGAGTGAAATGGTTTCCAATCTCTGTTTTCCCCTCCACATTTAAACCAAATAATCATAAGTTATCCAAAAGCTCTAACCCCATAAAGCCATAAAGCCCAAATTAATCTGGAAGATGATTTATTATGTGATGCAACAAGTCTTAAATGACGAGTTTCCTTTTCTAGATGTTATTTATCTATTCAGTATTACTGAATTGTATATACCGTATCTATAAAATAGATTGAACTGGCTTTATATATGCTAAGCTCTTACTTTATGCTTTTTACTGGAAAACACTTCTAATTCCTTTATTAGAAATATGGCAGATAAAATTATGGGAGCACGCAGCAATCTCCAAAACACTTCAGATATGAAAAAACCAAGTCTAATATTAGTTTTAATTAATCTGGAAACTATGGCGTACAATCCTGTGCATGGCCATTTGCCATATCCAAGCTCTGAATTATATTAAAATAAGAAGTTTAAATACTTTAGTTATGTTATTTTATTTTTATAGCTGATCTAAAATTTGACATAAATAGTAGTTAAATATAACAGTTCTGAATGTGACAAAGTGTTAAATTACCATGCAACTCTCTCTGTATTTGTTTTAAACCAAATTGAAAAATAAGAGTAAAAGGGAGATGTTTCTTCTAATGAAGTAGTTTGAATTTTCTTGTAATTATATATTACATTACTCTGCAAGGTTTTCAGTGTATTGTCCAGTTTTATAATTTCTATTTCTCTTCCTTTTATTCTATCTATCTATCTATCTATCTATCTATCTATCTATCTATCTATCTATCTATCTATCTATCTATCTATCTATCTATCTATCTATCTATCTATCTATCTATCTTCCAGTCCCAACCTTCTGGCTTTTTTACAAGTTCAAAAATTCGTGTACCATCGGTCCCATCCCCTTAAGACAGATTTTATGGCTAAAGAATACTGAAGTTGTTAAACCTTTTGTTTTAATAGGTTTTGGTTCAGATCTCATAACTAGGTTTGGATAGAAAGACCACGTGTGTAATATCCTCTCCATCCAGGTAATTCTATGCTCAATGGGAAGAACTTAATTCACAATGCAAAAATCAGTGTGACTCACATGATGTGTTCCACCTTGAAAGGTGCAGTTCCCTGAATGTTTAAAAATCTGCTTCCTTTCATTGTCCAGAACTTGTAATAAGCTTAAGAGGGTCAGCAGAAAGGATACATTTTTTAAAAAACAAACAAACCTGCACTATCATTTTTAACTGCAGTGAAGCCTAAATGGTGGTGTAGGGAGTCTCCCGGCTTCTTTTAATTGGTTTCTTAAACAACACGGAAGATTAATGGTTGGTCCAAATTTCAGTTTTTCGCCATTTGTCAACCTTTGAGATTGTGTCTACTGGACCCTACATTTCTAACAGCATCTTTAAAAGCCCTTCAACATATAGACATGTGCAAGTGACAGCAGAGATTTATGCTAGTAACTAATTAACTTACAAGCCATCAATGAGACAAATAATTACAAGCACAGAAATCTTCCAGACAAGATAAAATGTAAACAAATTCTATTTTCTTGAGATATGCTCCAATGTGCTATACATAACTGAAAGGAGACTTTGTTCATGCTTGTCTTAGTGTTTCAGCTTTAGCTACAATCATAGCATGATTGCAGTTCTTTGACCAAAGACCACAGCAGGCTCCAGAACAGCTGGTTTCTTGGTCCAACATAATCAATCCCACTTTGGTAGTCAAACACAGATGAAATCTTCCCAAGCTTGATAATTTTGCATGAGGCCAACAACCCTTTGAGGAAGGCAAGCAAACAGAAGAACAGCAAGGAGTTGAGTCAGGAGACTCAGGGAATAATATCAGTCCCAACTAGGACATGGTTTCCACAGTGCCCCACTGAAGTGGATTCATGATGTCAGATGTGCTACTAGACATACTGGAGTACATCTGCCTGTCCCTGCATAGCACACACTTAGCACTCACCCAGCAAGGTCCACATTGACATGATCCATTATTCATACAAAAGAAAGCCAGCAAGACCTTTATCAACTATTTATAATGTGCTCCATTTGTTTTCATGACTAGTTTTCTGAAACCTATGCAATTATTCATGTCCCTAATGTTAAATAAGGTCATTGCTACTCAGCTTTATTAAGAACCCTATCTGCACATTTAAGATGGATGTTAAAAACTGATATTAAAACAGCCAGTGGCTATAGTTTATTGGCTTCTTTGCATTCTCTCTAGCCTGGGGAGAGATGGGAGCTACAGTCATTTGGTGGGCAAAGAACATTGAGAGGGAAATTGTCAATATTTAATATTTGAGGGTCACCACATTGTAGCTTGGTTAGACAGGCAGTCATAAAGTACTCTTGCATCTGCCCCATTAATCATCATAATGAGATCCATTGACAATTTCAAAGATTAAGTCTTTGATTCAGGAAGGCAAAAGCTTCATTTCCAAGCCTATATATATATATAAAAAGCTCTTTAAAAAAACAGTAAAAGCAGAAGAACACTGTCCGAAGTGTGTGAAACCCTGATTTAAACAACACCTTAGGAATCAGTGGACCTGCTGGATTGGAATTAATTTCCTTAAATTTCTCTATGCCCGTCTTTGCCTTTCTGAAGGGGCAAAAGGTCAAAGGGAAGAGACAGGGTTCAGGTGATGTTTTAAACAAAAAAAGCTAAAAGATCTGAGTTGGGGTAGTGGTGAATACAACAAAAGACACCAGGTACAAAAATCTGGCTCCCATCACATACTCATTTTATGTAGCAACTAAGGCTTTGGTTGAACCATGCACCAAAACTTCAAGTTCCCTCTGGAACCCCAACAGGTCCACCTGGTGCTTCAGACAGACAAAGTGGTCTTTTCTCCATGTTGCAAGGGTAACCACAGAGAGGTTCAAGGCTAATTGGAAGTAATCCCTCCATGACAAGAGATTGATGACTACATCTTTAAATTATGCGACTGTCTCAAAAAAAAAAAGACTACGTAACTCCCCACAATGAAATGAGCCATCAATAATCTGAATCAGATCCATAATTGCTGTGAACTTCTTAGTCAGCTCATATTCTTGGTCTAAAGAAGGCAAATTAAAGTCCCCAAGAGTCTAGGGAACTCTACCACCAATTTTTGCCACAGAATGAAGTGGCTCAGGTAGAGAAGAAGCCTCACATCAGGGTTGCTGGTACCCTTGCAGCAGCCTCATCTGATCTCTGAGGCCCAACTTCACAAATAAGGTCCCACATCCATTGATGTCTAGAGTGGCACTTCTGGAAGCCCCAGAACGTCTTGGATGGCAATGGCAACACCCCTCCCCCTTCCTCAGGATCAGGGCTGATGCCATACCGGAAATCTAAGTTGGCACAAGATTTGAGGGGCTTCTTATACCTGATACCCAACCAAGCTTTGTAATGCATACTAGGCCAGCCCCCTCATCAGTGATTAAATCTGTGAATATTAATACACTATCAATGAGAACCTGCAAAACTCCCTTTGGGGGTAAAGAGAGATACTGGCTGGATTTATATGATACTAAGTCATGAATTTTTACCATAGTGTATTGAATAAAGCTCAGTTGATGGGTTCAAATTTAATACTAACCCACAATGGCTAAATGTATGTATTGTATCTAATCACACAGACACACACACACACACACACACACACAGAGACACACACAAAAAAAACCACATTATGTCTTAATGTGATACAGGAGCTCAGACATAGTCAATGAAGTTGTTGAAACATCAGTGAAAACTAAAATGTGGGGGAAACCATGCTTTTCTCCCTCAAGGCTTCTCCTGAAGGCTGGATTATTCTAGAAGCTGCCAAGATGCTATTCACTGCATGTGCAGGATGTTGAAAAGACTATATGAAAAAAATCTTTTTATGAGGAAGATATTAAAAGACACACAGTAATCTGTAGATTGCTATCTCCTTCCCTGTTGAATTTCTATCTCATGGTTAAGACCTTTCTCTTTCAGAGAACTTTTAGGGATGGAATCAAAGGATGATGCTACCCCTGAGGCTGTTGATAGGCAGAATTATAATTTGAATTCACAATGCTTGCAGTTTTTATATATTGCTTTTACTCTTATTTATTATAACATGAACTTGTAAGCCACTCAGGATCTTGGATTGTTGCAGTACAGAAGCTTGAGTAATAAATAATAAGTAAATAATAAATAAACACATGGCAGAAAGGCTAGTTATTGGCCACTTTTTGTGGGTAGAGGACCCAAATGTTATGAGTCCCAAGCTTGACAATCCACAGCTAATACCTAAGACTGACAGGATTTCTGTGATAATTGCCCCATTTGACTCCAGTGGCAAAATAAGAGCAACTATTATAGGTGATGTTGATTAGTTCAGAATGAAAGTCAGCCTAGAAGAGAATATATTATGGAGAGCAGGAACAACAACAGAAAGCAAAGTTGATGAGTCCGCATGGGATTTAAGGCATGTATTTTAATGGTTCTGTTGGGGATAATTTTTTTTAGTGGCTTAGTAGGAAACAAACAGAATCACTGTAGCATGATTTTCGCAGAATTATGGCTTTTAGCATATCCATCCACTAAAAGGAGGTGATACACACAGTGAGGAACACTGAAGAAAGAAGTAGGACGAAGGTGTCCTCGGGATATGCATCCGTTGCCAAGGGGATGGGCTCCCTCCCTCCTTCCCCTCTCTTCCACCGTGTTGCTGCTGCTGATTTAGGAAATGGCTTGGCAGTTCTAACAGTGAGAATTACAGCTCATGATGTTTGACATTCCGCCTATCAATGGCTTTTCAGATAGTAACTCTTCCATCCCCAGCTGAGTCAAATAAGGCCAACATTAAAAGGGTCTTCTCTCCTACAGTTTGAAACCATGTGGAAGAAATATTTGATTATGAATGTTCTTTTCACTAATTTTGCACGTTCCATTTTTCAAGTCTAGAATTAAAATATGCCTATAACAACTTTGCTGTAGCTATGTTTCCATTCATTCCCAGTCCAGATGGCCTGATTTAAGATGGATTAGTGCTTCTGATATGTACAGAATCCAAATATGAAAGATGTTGAGTCTTCATTACACAGATAGTCATGTGATAATGGCCATGTGATTGTAAGCCTGAATGTGCAATGTAAAGCACAAATAGCTTATAAATCGTAACAATCAGAAAGACATGAACTACATTAGGAAATAGAATGAGCAAAATAGATTGGCTGATTTATGGAGATTTTCAGTCATCCAGGTCATGCTTTTTCAAAACTGGACTTTGTTTTTCCTTGAAGACATTTCGCTTCACATCCAAGAAGCTTCTTCTGAACTGAACTGAAGAAGTCTCCTGGATGAGAAGCGAAACATCTTCAAGGAAAAACAAAGTCCAGCTGCCTTTTGAAAAAGCACCTTTGGGACTCTGTATGGATACAGGGGGAAGGTAGAGATGTGTTATATCAACCAAAAAAGAATAGAAGATCTAAGTGTTTCCCTCAGCAAAAGGCCGAATTGGTTTCTTCTCACGTATCTCCACTGTGTTGAAAAAGTTTCACAGATGGCTTAGCCAACTGGGTGGATACTTAGAAAGTAGGTTTGGTGTGGTTTAACTTTATATGCAGTTTTATTTAAGAGTTATAAAAGGTACAGATGTGCGTATTTGTACATGTTGACTCCTATTTAAAGATTTAGGCATAAAAACTCTGACTGAGTAGAAACAGAAGACATGTCATCACAGTTGGAAAAGCTGTGACAGGTCTGATTATTGCTGACAGGCAATCTCAAGCCATCATTTTCCTTTCCACCTTTGACAGAAAGCTTTTCACATAGAGAATTGTCTTCTGGATTATAGCACTCACATTCCTCTATTCTATATCTAGTCTGCAATTTTAAATCATGCTGCTTAAGTTGCAATAGTAGTACAAGACATGGCAGATTTCTTCCATGTGAGAATATTGCACCTTAATGCTTAAACCCAAGGGGGTTTTTTTGGGGGGGGGGAATAAAAGGTAACTTAGATTTATACAGAAGCACTATAGCAGTGGTGGCGAACCTATGGCACGGGTGCCAGAGGCGGCACTCAGAGCTCTCTCTGTGGGCACACATGCCATTGCCCCAGCCTTGCCTCCCCCCGTGACCCCCTCCTCTCCAGCAGCCCCCCTGAAGGAGAGTCGCCCCCGAGTGTGGCCCACATGGAGCAGCGCAGCCAAGGACATGGCAGGCAGGCAGCATAGACAAGACTCTGCCCTCACACCCCATCATGCAGTTGATGCTGCAGGGTGTGGGCAGAGGGTGTGGCCGCCATAGCGCTGCTGGGCTGCCTGGGTGATCTGCGGCAGGCCCTGGAGGCAGTGAGTGGTCCTGTGGGCAGGCAGGGCGGGGGATGGGGGCAGAGTGGGGGTGAGGCAGGGGGTGGAGCGGGGACAGGGCCAGTTTTTGGGCACTCGGTCTCTAAAAGGTTTGTCATCACTGTACTATAGCATGAGAAACTCAGATGTATTCAGTGTATGCATAGAAACAAAGATACTGGCGCCAGACTATTCTTTTCACACTTGATTGTGTTCTTACATTTTCCATTTAGGAGACTGTTCCGAAGAATCTGATCCACCTTCATTGCTATGTCCGAGACATTCTGAGCAATTGCTTGAATCCTCTCCATCAGACCAGCTGCTGGAGGGAACCTAGGAAAAGAAAAATATAATCCATGTTTCATTTTTGCTGGGCATTTCAGCTTGTCTGTAAGAGTAATTAAGGTACTCTGTTCCTGAAACAACAGTTCTTCAAAGCAGAAAACTATCAGAAAAGAACAACTTTGACAACCAGAAAGATGTTGGATTCAAGAGTGATAGATGTAAATTTTCATAATTTTCTATCTATGGGATAACTATAGGAAGTTGGAATAACTATCAGAAAAGTCTTATTTTTGGAGGGCAGCAGAACTGGGCCTGTGGCCAGTTTCTTTCTGGCCTTGCCCTCATCTTCTCCAAATGCTTCTTTTTTTTTCTTTGACCAATCTTACTTCTGAATTGCTTTCTTCCACACCCCATGTCGTTTTCAGATGGCTTTACTTCTTTAAAAAAATATACACTTAAAACTACCTCAAACATAGATCTGAGAAAAAATAAAGAAAAAACTATGTGCAAACAAATATGCTCTCTGATACACTTAGCAGGAAGGTATGACCATATAGACTGTGTGGCCAATAAACTCAAAGTAGCAAAAATGAATTGGCTTCTGTGTAACATGTGAAGCCCACTTGCCACCCCAAAGAGGGATAAGCTGTTTCAGAATGGGCCATATTCCCTTGGCATGCTAAGCCAGAATTCTATTCGCAATTTGTTCACATTGAAGCTTCATAGAGATAGGTACATTTCAATGTCTCATTGCCAGTTTGTTTTAGGCTCACTGAGTTTATGATATGTTCCCTTTATTAATTCAAAGTAACTTTTGTATCCCACTTTTTAATCACCAGAGACTGCAACATTTCAATTTAACATCTGGCTTATACATTTGGACCAGATCTATAAACAATTGTTGCTAATTACATACCACTCACTATGGCAAGCAATGGTTTTGCAGCCCAGATCTGAGAGCCTCAAGCTTATATTAATTTCATAATATATTGTATTTCCAATCTACATATTAGAGGTACCTATTGCTGCCCCGCACATTGTTTGGCCTTTTTAGTTTGATTCAAAAATGATGCTTTTTTCATCTATAGAGAACATCAGCCAACTCTTGCCCACCTTCTTTTATTTGCAGCAAGTTTTTTTTAATTCACTACATAAATTCCTCACTGCCAGAATATCTATAGGGGGAGTAAAAAAAATACCAAGATCATTGCCATCTTGATTTTTCCAATATGCACAAATGCAAACAGAGGAGGGTATGTTTCCTCTGCACTAGCACAGCAGGAAAGTAAGATTCCTGTTCTTTGTTTCAGGGCAATTCTAATACTGGAATAATGCTCTACTGATCTTAGTAAAGATAATGGTTCAAGTAGCTTAACAATGATGTTATAATTGTCATAGATCCAACAATATTTCTCATTTTATGAGATTCTCACATGAATCTCAAAACAGCATGAACTGGCTGTTTTGATCTGAAATGGATGTCTGCATCTCAGTAAGATGGCTTCAGGAGTGAGGAACTGCTGAGATTATTACAAAATCGTAGGGTTAAAACTGCAACTTTTACTTATGCACAAGGGGGTTTAGAAATAGCAAATTTAAGCAATTCAGCAGAAGTGATTCAATAATTTGTAAAGAAGCTCTAGGGGCTACTTTAAAGTTAAAACAAAACCTTATTAATGTTTTACTCAGAAATATCCCATTGTTTACTGGGGCTT